CTACATCCTAAAACCCTAAACCCGAAACCCAAGACCCTAAACTCTAGACCCTAAACGCTAAACCCTAAATCCTAATCCCAAACCCTAAATCCTAAACCCTAAACCCTAAACCCTAAATCCTAACCCTAAATCCTAAACCCTAAACCCTAAACCCTAAACCCTGAATCCTAAGCCCTAAACCCTAAATCCTAAACCCTAAACCGTAAACCCTAAACCCTCAATCCTAAACCCTAAACAATATCTCCTAAACCCTAAGCCCTAAACCCGGTCGTCTCAAGTTGCCTCGCGACCGGCGCAGGCTTCGGAGGCGCTGCTGCCCACGCTGATGCCACGGCGAGGCCTGGCCCCCAAAAACCAGAGGTTTGCATGGTTTAGGGTTCAGGGTTTAGGGTTTGATGGTTTTGGATGTAAGGTGTTAGGGTTGGCCATAGGTGTGTATGTGTAGGATCATGTAGGGTTAAAGCTTCAGGGTTTAAGGCGCAGGGTTCAGTAGGATCATATAGGTTTGAAGTTTGAAGGTATAGTGACTTGGAGTCCAGGGTTCAACGCATGATGTCCTCCATTGTGACGCAACATGACTATACTGTGATGCTTATGCTCCAAATCCGCTATTGTCATTGTTAAGGCCCCTGTAACACAACCCTAAATCCTAAACCCTAAACCCTAAACCCTAAACCCTAAACCCTGGTTTGGGGTTCGAGATTGAGGGGCTGGTGGCCGAGGCTTTGGACAGGCTGCTGTTGTGGAAGTGCAAAAGGCGCAGCGCGGGATTTAGGGGCCCTAAACCCTAAACCCTAAACCCTAAACCCTAAACCCTAAATCCTAAATCCTAAACCCTAAACCCTAACTCCTAAACCCTAAACCCTAAACCCAAACCCAAACCTCTAGACCAGCGTTCAGAGGAGGGCTCCGCGCTTCACAGCTGAATCCGGCTTGTGTTTTAGAGATCCGGATGAACCCAGGGACTTCCACCGTCGCGGGTTTAATATAGTGAGGCCCTAAACCCTAAACCTCAAACCCCAAGGTCCTTAACCCTGCACCCAAAAACCTTGGGCCCCTTAAACATCCTGGGCTCCCTTCCTCTCCCCAGCTTGAATCGCGAGCCCTGCACTCTTCAGACAATTTTAGGATGCAGGCCTGGGGCACTAAATCCTAAAACCCGTTCATCCCATGATATAGCGCGAAAACGCTACAGATCTGAAGCCCTGAACCCAAACCCTCAGAGCTGAACCTGAAGCCCTAACGCGTACAACAACAGACACTGGCGCCCTGAAGCCCCCAAACCCCAACGATATCCCTCCCATCTGGGAATCATAAGGGTGAACCCTTAACCCTAAACCCAAAATCCTAAACCCTACACCCGAATTCCTAAACCCTAAATCCTAAACCCAAAACCCTAAAACCTTGAACCTTTGTAGCCCTCCTACAAGCTCTGAGCTTGCAAGGGCCTGAGCAGTTTTAATCGGGCTTCTGTTGGTTTTTCTTAAAGGGTTCCACAAGTGTTACTACAAAGGTGCAGAATAGGTTTTTTTGTCATTAGAATCGGTTTTCTGTGGTATAGCAGGGTTTTGTTATATAGGTACCGTGAGGAAACACTATTACCATCTTCTCTGGCCCCCTAGACTGGGCTTCTGCGCAGCATCTTACCCGAAGCCGCCGCACAGATCCAAACCGCAAGCTGCCACAAAGAACGAAACCGGCCGAAGTCCCGGTACGGAACATTCAAGATATGCGAGAAATCGCATGGAATAGGCCGCAAGTGCCAGCTAAAGGTAGGAGGCATCATCCCAACAAAAACTCATGTAAAATCCAGAGCAATGCTCGACGCGAGCGACACAGGCCCTTCTTGCTACCGACCTATCAGAATAGAGGCCTAAATAATTGCCTATACTGTTTTGGGGGGGTTCCGAATAACATTTATAGTATAATCTTAGCTCCCTAATACCCAACCTTCAAACTTTTTGGGTTCTTACAATTTAGTAGCAGTCTGAAAGTTTAACCATTTGTTTCCCTGGCTTATTGGGGAAGTAAGTAATATACCCCAAACCCCATCCTGATTCATGTCGGAACCTGATTAAGAAACTCTGGCCCTATAAGCCCAATATATTGGGTTTAGGGTTTCGGGTTTAGGGCCCCGAACCCCAAACCCTAAACCCTAATAAAGACCCCAGATTTTCTTTATCAGGCTCCGATACTATTCAGGCTCCTACGCTACAATGTCCACCTGGCACACCTCTGTCCTAGGTAGTATTCGGGAGACCCCTTACAGGGGACCCTTCTTAACCCTACTTCTGGCTCTCTTCAAGGGGACCTTATTTACATCTCGTTTTAACTACAGTACAATATGCACCAAATCATAATTCTAATGTTTAAGGCCCCCATATTACGCCTTACATCTCAATCTGCAGGCGCGATCACCGAAGGCGAAGCCCAGCTCTGGGATGATTCCGGCTTGGGCCCCCAGCGCAACAAAGAGGAAGCAACAACAAGTTTGAACGGCTTTAGGTTTCAAGATGACTGCGAACATGAGCAGTGAATGGCAGGAACAGTGCTCATCAATACAAAAAGCATGCACTGCTTCTACTCCTACTCCCACTCCCACTCCTGCTCCTGCTTCTACTCCTACTGGTACGCCTACTCCTACTCCTCCTACTACTCCTACTCCTACTCGTACTCGTACTCCAACCCCTACTCCTACTCCTACTCCTACTCCTACTCCTACTCCTACTCCTACTCCTACTACTTCTTCTGCTACTACTACTACTACTACTACTACTACTACGACGACGACTGCTTCTACGGCTACTGCTGCTACTACTGCTGCTGCTGCTACTACTACTACTACTACTACTACTAGTACTACTACTAGTACTACTACTACGACGACGACGACTACCAACTAGTAACTGCTAACCAAGTTTGGTACCGCTAAGTTTTCCGAACCTTGAAGCTTAGACCCTGAACACTAAACTGGAAAAGCCCCAAGCCCTAGTATAGGGGCCTTGATAATTACCTAGGCTATTTTGGGGGTTCCTTATTGTAGTTATAGTATAATGGACCCCAAAACCCTATTGTAATTCTTAAGGCCCCAAACCCTATCAGTCGTGAGATGTCTGCCAGGTCCGATCCAACTCACAGGAGGCCCTCTGGCAGCCCCTCAGCTCCCCTAGGGAGGTCCTGAAAGTCCAGGCCGGATCTCATGTTTTTTCTTATAATGCTTCATGGGTTTAGGGTGTACTGTGGGGGCCTGAATAACTAGAATCAGAACAGGGTTTAGCGTTTAGGGCCTTAGCCCGCACCCTCAAAGGAGTTACATATATTTTAAGGCTGTTGGGCCCAACAACCCTACTATATCAGGCTCTTGGGGCTATTTTGATGCTAAGGGCACGAGGTTCTTTTTATAGTGCTTTATGCGGGTTCTGTAATGCAGTCCACGTGCCTTTAGGGAAACGGTTTTCCTACCTGCAGAGCTTGTTCCTGTAATGTAATGCTATACAAGGGGTTTATCACGTCTTATAACAGGTCTTGCGAGGGTTTTTAATTCGTAAGAGGGTTCTATCGGTTTATCGTGTCTTATAACAGGTCTTGCATTCGCAAGAGGGTTCTATCAGGGCTCCATATCTCCGACCACTGAACCCTTGAGGGCTGGATCGATGCTTGAGGGATCTTTCCCTTGTCCTTGTTATCCCTCTTATCGCTTTGAATGCTGGTCCTGTTATTGCCATTTTTTGTTGCGGGTGTTATTCGGATTTGATATCATTACCAGTCATTGCTCTCCATTACAATGCCTTGCAATGCCTTGCGTATTGAAACAATGCTCCATTATGCCTGCCATTGCTTGTGCTGGTTGTCATTATGATTACGCCGTTGCTGATGCTTAGGATCCCTCAACCCTAAACCCTAAACCTAAACCCTAGACCCTGAACCCGAAACCCTAAACCCTAAACCCTAAACCCTGTGTTTGTTGTCTATGAAGATCCTCGCAGGGACGGTAAAGATTCAAAGGAACCCTAAACCCTAAACCCTAAACCCTAAACCCTAAACCCTAAACCCTAAACCCTAAGCCCTAAACCCTAAACCTTAATCAAAGGAG